GTTTAAGAAGTGCTCCATGTTTGTCCAGTAGATGCAAAACATGTCCCTTTATATCAGAAACTCATTATTTTGTAAGCAACTCTACGAATAAAAGGTACCCGATCCAGGAACATCTAACATGTGAACATTCGAATGTAATATATTTAATTTCATGCAAGAAATGCCGCAAACAATATGTAGGAGAAACTAAGAATAATTTACGAACTCGCTTTAATGCTCATAGGTCAGACATCAAATTAAAGAAAGAGAAGCCTGTTTCTAATCATTTCAACCTCGACGACCATTCAATAGACGATCTCGCCCTAATCCCAATTGAGCGTATAGAAATTGACTTGCCCGAAGATGAAACTACCAAATTCCGTCATCTAGGGAAGCCCATTGGATTGAGACATTGAATACAGCGAGACCTATAGGACTAAATATTCATCATAATGTAGGAATAGCACCCTTTGTTGTCCCGTTTAATACAACCAGCAATCGAGCAAGCAAGATAGTTCATGTCCACTGTAAGAGCCTTCAAGAGAAATTCCCCCATGTCTATAAGCAGAAAATGATAGTTGCATATTCAAAAAATAAGAACTTAAATGATAATATTGTTCATAGTAAACTATAAACAACCAGCACATAACAGATACTATACTTCTCGCCCATCGGGCGAGTTATTTTTTCTAATTTCAGATCAGAATAAGAACAGAAGAAAACCCAATATCAAGACCCTTAATCCTAATTTCTAAATAAAGTGTCTGCTCCACCCTAGGCCTGTACATTTGGGAGAATCAAACCCTCCCTTCCCCGAAATCTAATTATTTGCAAAATATTAATTTCATATGTTCCTATCAACATGAATCATCTAGTTTATCTTTAAAAGGTTGGTATTAATTATATCATTACGATAAAGAAATGGTTGAAGAAGAATGGTATGAAAATACTAGAATGGTTCCGAAACACACCGAAAAAGAAAACGTAGAAAAAGTTTACTCACCCTTTTATAAGATATTTTATCAAAGTATTAAATGAGGAAGAGTTTCGGCAAATCGAAAATCATTTGAAACGAATAAAATGGATGAAATTTGTAATATATTAAAGGAATACACAGAAACACCAAGTGATAATATAATTGATTTATTCAAAGAATATAGTGCTAACCCAAAAGAAAAAACGGAGGTTCATTCGAAACTTAAAAAAATAAAATGTACTAAACGAATGGCCTTTGATGCTAGCTGTTTGTACGCTTCCGCCATGTCGGATTTAGACAGCGAATATCCGAGAGCGGAAAGTGGTAGACCATTTCGACAAGAAGAAAATAAAGAATTTGTTAAGCTCTTTAATGAGCAGAAATTCAAACGTAGAACTGCTATTTTAAAAGTCTGGTTTGAATATCCTACCAACATGTTCTTCCAACCCATACCAGCGAAAGATAAAATCAGTTTTACGAATAGAATAGGTAAAAAGGAAACTGGCACTAAAATCAGGTTCAGAAATGGTTTCTGTCACGACGTATTAACATTGGTCGATATTCAAGAAATAGTGAAAGCCGGTGGACGAATGATTAAAATATTAGATGGTATAGTTTACGAAGAAAATTTTAAAACTCCACCCTTTAGAGGAGTTTAAAAGCCAACTTCGATTCACACGTA